CGCCTCCTGCTTCGTCCAACCAGGTCTCCGTGATGCACGCCAGATCTGCCCGCTCATCCAGGATTAAGTCTTTTAAACTTGGGGGCCACATGGCGGGCTGGAGTGGGTGGGCCGAGGGAAGGGTACCCCTTTTTCCCGCTTCCTCTTCTCTTTCAAAGGCAGAAAGAGAAGGAAAGACTGGAAACGTTTGTATCCCTTGGTCAGGATGAGATGGTGGATGGGAGAGATAAAGTGTATCCATTAGACCCTGTATTGCCTACTTCTGATATATAACCTAGAATCCCAGAGCTGGAAGAGACCGCCAAGGGCCACCCAGTCCAACCCCCTGCCATGCAAGAAGGCACAATCAAAGCACTCCCAATAGACAGCCTCTGCAGAAAAACCTCCAGACAAGGAGACTCCACCACACTCCAAGGCAGACAATGCCACTCTTCAACAGCTCGTACTCTCAGGAAGTTCTTCCAAATCTTTTCAATCAAATCCCTTCCGCTGCCATTTGAAATGGTTGTTCCCTTGTGCCCTGGTCTAGAGCAGCAAAAAGTTGGTTTTCCCCGTCCTCCTCAATGTAACACCTTTTGCCATCTTGAAACATGGTTCTCATATTCCCTCTGTACCGTCTCTTCTCCCAGCAAAACATCCCCCAGGAGGAAAGGAGGAAGAAAAAAGAAGGAAGGAAGGAAGGGTGAAAGGGAATGGAGATGGGAGGGAAGGGAGGAAGGAGGGAAGGGAGGAAGGACAAAAGGTGTGGAAGGAAAAGGAAGGGAGGAAGGGAGGGAAGGAGGAAGGAAAGAGAGAAAGAAGAATGAAAGGGTGGAAGAGAAGGAAGGAAAAGAGGGAAGGAGTGAAGGAGGAAGGAAAATGAGAAGGAAGGATAGGATGGTGAGAGAGAGGAGGGCCTGAGAAAAGAGCCCAAGGGGCCGCATCTGTCCCTCAGGCCTGGATTTGCCCATACCTGTTATAGAGTCTATCAACAAGTGTAGGTTTAAGACATCCTGTGGTTACATGCCTCACTTATTCACATGCTTCACGTGGGCAGATTTATGCCAGACGGGCAGGCATACTCAGCAGTTGAGTAAGACAAGACCAGGGCTGATGTTTTTATTAGCTTTGGGTCTGCGCCCCATGAACCCACTGTTGAACAAAGTATTTATTATGACCATCCAAAATACTATGCAAGTATACAAGCTTTTGAGTTTAATCCAAACTCTGCATCGATTGTCAAGAGCAAGTTATATGTAACAGCTGTATCTTTAATTCAGCCAAATCTCTTTTAGACAATGCAAATAATTTTGTGCCTTAGTAAAACAAATAAAAGGCTTGCAACCACCACACAGCTAGAGACATGAACTTTATGTAATGCAAGGGTGTCAGTAATTTTCAGCCTTTTTTGTGCGTATGTTATTGAGCTTCATGGAAATTACCCTATATATTGAGGATAAAGTCTCATTGGTAAAGTCTTAGCTCTGTCCCTGGCCAGACCCAGAGCCATGGAAAGAGTCGCTCTTGACTGAAAGCAGCAGGAGAGAAAACATAGATCAAAGTTGATGAATCGCCCTCGAAAAACGCCACCCGGTCCTCTTCATAGTCCAGAAAAATCCTAACCCTCCTGAGGCTGCTGAATGAGGACAGGATGGTCACGGGACAGGTAAGAGCCTCGAGGCGGTCCCCACACTGTTGCAAAGCCCAGATCTGCTCTTCGGGGCTAGGGACAATCTCCCCTTTCCTCTTCACAGACTCTTTGGCAAAACCCACAGCCCAGTACCTCCCTTTTCCCACTTCCACCTCCCAGTAATGTCTTCCTGCTGTGAGTCCCTCGCAGCCCAGCACACAGGGGTAAGGGTCAAATCTTTCTGGGTTGTCAGGAAGGTCTTGCCAGATGTCTCCCAGTTTCACGCTCTTCTGATCGGCCGACAGAATGAGGAAGGGGTTTGCAGTATCTGGATCCAGAGTCACTTTCACTTGATGGATAGAGAGAGTTCAAAAGAAAATTACTTACAGACGGAGCAGAAGATGTGTTATCAAAGGCTGTCATGACTGGAACCACTGGGTTGCTATGAGTTTTCCAAGCTGTATGGCCATGTTCCAGAAGCATTCTGTCCTGACGTTTTGCCCACATCTATGGCAGGGATCCTCAGAGGTTGTGAGGACTGTTGGAAACTAGGCAAATGGAGTTTATATATCTGTGGAATGCCCAGGGTGGGAGAAAGAACTCTTGTGTGAATGTTGCAATTGGCCAACCTGATTAGCATTGAATATCCTTGCAGCTTCAAAGCTTGGCTGCTTCCTGCCTGGGGGAATTTTTCGTTGAGAGGTGCTAGCTACTAGAATAAAAAAACCCTCTATAATCAGGACAGTAAATAAAAAACAACACTCATAAAACAGGGTGATTCCAGACAGGAAACAATCAGGGCCAGCGAACACCTCCCAACAAAGGATTCCCCTAGGCAGGAAACAGCCAGGCTTTGAAGCTGTAAGGCTATTCAATGCCAATCAAAGTGATTAATTGCAACATTCACACTTGCAGACAAGAGTTCTTTCTCCCACCCTGGACCTTCCGCAGATATATAACCCTTCCTTGCTTAGTTTCCAATATACCTCACAACCAGGGCCAGCGAACACCTCCCAACAAAGGATTCCCCCAGGCAGGAAGCAGCCAGGCTTTGAAGCGGTAAGGCTATTCAATGGTAATCAAAGTGATTAATGGCAACATTCACACTTGCAGACAAGAGTTCTTTCTCCCACCCTGGACCTTCCACAGATATATAACCCTCCCTTGCTTAGTTTCCAATATACCTCACAACCTCTGAGGATACTTGCCACAGACGCCAGGAGAGAATACCTCTGGAACATGGCCATATAGCCCAGAAAACTCATAGCAACCCAATTGCCTCTGTAATTGCCAGAACATATTACTAACCTTTTCTGCCCCTTTTTTTCACTTCAGTATACGGCAGCTTGAACAATTGTGTTCTGCCTTTTGGGAATTTCAGCTTTTCTTTCAGTAAAGATGTGCTTTCTAACTCAGTGGAGAGAAGACCTAGGAAAAGGAAATAAATGGGCCCCAGACAGTTGTGTGAATTATAAATGGTGTTGCCATAGAGTTGCCATGAACATACACAGACATACAGATAGATAGCTTGGGGTAACCGGAATATCTAATATATGTTGTTGCTGCCTTCCCTTGCTCCTCATCCCTTTCTCCCCTAAATAAATATGCAAACTAAGGGCCGTTCCTTATAGCTCTATATCCCAGAATATCAAGACAGAATATCCCACATATTCTGAGTGTGGACTCAGATAACCCAGTTCAAAACAGATATTGTGGGATTTTCTGCCTTGATATTCTGGGATAATAGGGCTGTGTGGAAGGGCTCCAATAGCTCTTTGGCTGAAACCTTTAAATACCTTTATCTACACTGCAAATTCCAGAATTCCATATAACATTGCCATAGGAATTAAAGTGGAATATAAATAGTACTATAACAATGGAAAGAATCAGTTTTGGGGCAAGAGCATCCAAAGCATCTTTTTGTTTTTTCCTAGAAGTCAGCTAAACTGGAAAGACCCTTGCAACAAGGCTGAGAAATGGAAAACCTCTTGTAAGAAAGGAGTCCAAGCTTTAGCAGGGAAAATCGTTTTCTTGATCAGTAAGAGGAACTACTGGAAATTAGTGTCTCAAAATCCCATAAACACATTCCCCCTATGTTAACTCCTTAATACCTTTGAAGTCTTTGAACATCTTTTTTAGATGCCTGCTTTGTTCAGAAAAGCTCTTCAGTCTCATTTCCAGATCAGGAGAACGTTCCACCGAATGTTGGGGTCTCTGCTTATCACATCTGGAAGAGAGAAAAGGAATAAGGATCTTTTCCATCAACAGACTGGGGATTCTCAAATATGTATTTATTTATTTATCGTGTCAGGAGCGAACTAAAGAGTTGTATTGCATTAAAAACAAACAAACAAAACACAAAGTTTGCAAGCTTGGTAGTTGATTAAATGTCCTTTAATCAGTAGCTGGCCACTTGGAGTGCCTTTGGTGTTACTATAAGAAGGTCCTCCATTGTGCATGTAGCAGGGCTCAAGTTGCATTGCAGCAAGTGGTCAGTGGTTTGCTCTTCTCCACACTCGCATGTCGTGGATTCCTCTTTAGCCCCATTTCTTAAGGTTGGGTCTGCATCTCGTGGTGCCAGAGCGCAGTCTGTTCAGCGCCTTCCATGTGTGCCCAGGAGGGAGTCTCTCATTTGGTATCAGCCATTGATTGAGGTTCTGGGTTTGAACCTGGCACTTTTGGACTCTCTCTTGCTGGGGTGTACCAGTGACTGTCTTTGTAGATCTTAGAAAACTATTTCTTGATTTAAGTCGTTGACGTGCTAGCTGATACCCAAACAGGGGGTGGGTCGGAGATGTCACTGCCTTGGTCCTTTCACTATTGTCTGCTACTTCCCGGCGGATGTCAGGTGGTGCAATACCAGCTAAACAGTGTAATTTCTCCAGTGGTGTAGGGCGCAGATGCCCCGTGATAATGCAGCATGTCTCATTAAGAGCCACATGCACTGTTTTAGCGTGGTGAGATGTGTTCCACACTGGGCATGCATACTCAGCAGCAGAGTAGCACAGCGCAAGGGCAGATGTCTTCACTGTGTCTGGTTGTGATCCCCAGATTGTGCCCGTCAACTTTCGTATTATATTGTTTCTAGCGCCCACTTTTTGCTTGATATTCACACAGTGCTTCTTGTAGGTCAGAGCATGGTCCAGAGTGACTCCCAGGTATTTGGGTGCGTTGAAATGCTCCAGTGGGATTCCTTCCCAGGTAATCTCAGAGCTCGAGATGCTTGTCTGTTCTTAAGGTGAAAAGCACATGTCTGTGTTTTAGATGGATTAGGAATCAGCTGGTTTTCTCTGTAATAGGCAGTAAGAGCACCTAGAATTTTGGAGAGCTTCTGTTCAACCATCTCAAAGCTCCCTGCTTGAGCAGTGATGGCACGATCGTTGTTGTTGTTGTTGTTGACGATGCTAACAACAACAATAATAATAGAATCATTGACTTGAAAGTGATCCCAGGAGCCATTGATCGTACTGTATGTTATAATTAGATCCTCAGATACAGGCTGGAATAGATATATTTTGATGATAAATAAATGTAAGTCTGAAATGTTTTAGGAAGAGTAATGTCTCTTGCATCAGTGGGAAGATGAAAAAAGCGTTTAACTGAGTATTTCGCTGTGTAGACCATTCAAAGGGAAATGGAGGGCTCACATACCTGCTGTTGATGTTGCTAAGATCCTATAGATAAAAGAGAGAATGGGAAATGAGAATGACAATAATTCAAAAATATTAACTTTTCTAAAATTAAGCTTTGAGTTTTACTCCGTAATACAGGTTGAAAATATAAAATGTCTGGGACTGGCAATATTTGGAATTTTGAGGGTTTTTTGGATTTGGAATACCTGTATTTGCAATATGGGCATAATGAGATATCTTGGAGATGGGACCCAGATAGAAACACAAAACATAACTTATAGACATATCATGAAGGGTTTTGTGTGTGTGTGTCAGGAGGGACTTTAGAAACTGCAAGTCGCTTCTGGTGTGAGAGAATTGGCTGCCTGCAAGGACGTTGCCCATAGGACACCCAGATGTTTTGATGTTTTACCATCCTCATGGGAGGCTTCTTTCATGTCCCCGTGTGGGGAGCTGGAGCTGACAAAAGGAGCTCAACCCACTCTCCCTGGATTTGAACCGCTGACCTGTTTGGTCAGCAGTCCTGCCGGCACAAGGGTTTAGCCCATTGCGCTACCAGGGGGTCCTAATCCTGAACATAATTACCTATAAAAAATTAAATGTAATTTTATAAACTATTTGTAATAATTTTGCGCATGAAACAAACGTTTGTGTACAATCAGAAAACAAGGGAGTTACTATCTTAGTTACTCATACAGACAATCTTATCTTGTGCAGGTTAAACATATTCACAAAAGAATATTTTCCTCATGCTCTGGTTTAGCTGTGATAACACTTATGCCCCAGAGGAAATGACTTATGTGTACAGACCTGGAGGAATTCATCCACTGGCTGCCTGTTCTTCTCTTCCATCTCATATATGAGGCCACTAAGGTTGGAAATCTCCTCCGAGAGCCTGGAAAGGATGGTATTCCTTTCCATTTTCACATCTTTCTCTAGCTGCTCTAGCCGGGCCAGTAAGACATCTTCTTGGTCCTCTAGAAACTGGTGGAGCTGCTCAAATTCATACATTATCTTCTTTCCTTCAAATTCTAATTTTTCCTGTAATTGGCAGATTAAGAAGAGGGGATTACGCAGGACAACAGAGACCAAAACCCCCTTTGAGTTAATTTCAGATATAACAACATATACAAGGTTATGAAAAGGGAGAATGGAGCAATAACATCAGAAATGCCATTCTGTTTTACTTCAATGGTACAAAGCCTAGCTGAAGTATAGTTGTGGATGCACCCTGTTGCTGAAAGGTACAACTGAGTGAATGCTAATTTTATAAGTCCAAATGCTGTGACTTAAGAAGAAAGACAGACATAATGTAAAAACAGAGCTTGCAGCAAGTTCCCATCCTCAGACATGACTTTATGATGGGCTTTAGAAGAACTGGTAAATCACCAGCAATGATAAGAGCTACCAAATGAAAGGCTGCCAGTTTGAAGCCCTGGGTTGGCATGAGCTCCTGACTGTCAGCCCAGCTCACTATTTACCTAAGCAGTTTGAAAACAGCTTGACTTGTAAGTAGAGAAATTAGATACAGCTAAAAAAAACAAGCAAGGGAGGTATTTTACAATACCATAAAGAAAAAGATCAGAAAATGCCTGGTGACCAAACGGAAGGAGGAAGTACTGATGGCTCTTCATCATATAGGTTGGAGCAACAGCACCCCCTGTGGCTGGATTCAAGCACAACCACCAAGGTGCCAAAAAAAGCTGGACGTCAATGTGAAGATCCCTTACCTTGCCAGCCGGGGTGGCAGGGCCTAGGAGAGGCAGGCTAGTAGTTTCAGCCTTAGAAGGCCTGGCAGAGGGCAGCAGGAGCCATTTTAGTTTAGGGAAAAGCTCCAGTTCAGAGAGGGGGAGTGGCCTAGGCCTGGGCCAGCCCTGAAACAGCCAGGATTGGTTTGTTAAAGGGGGGTGGAGTTAGACTGTTGGAGGGAAAGAAAGGAGCTTATTTTAGTCAGTTCAGTTCTGGTGGATGTTAGAGTTAGAGCAGGAGTGCAGTAGCTTTTAGGAGTTCGTGATAGGAATAGGCAGTTTGCCTGAAGTTTGCACAGCAAATTAGGCTGTGGCAAACTGGTTACAGCTATTTTAGGGGAAAATAGCTGGGTTTTGTAATAATAACTGTAACAAAGAAAGAACCATTCTCTTGCAACCGTCACGCTTTTCAAGAACAAGAACATTCTATCTATAACAGCCAAGCCTAATAAACTGCCTTCACTTTCATTCTGTAACTTCTATTAAATAAACTTTTCTTGTTATTTTTAAAACTTAAGCCTGAGTCAAGTGCCATTTGTGGATTTAGTCCCTTTCTTTTTAAATCAACCTCACCTGTTTTCCTTCAAAGAAACCCTTTTAAAAGACACAGTACTTGGTGGTCTAAAAAGCCTTTTAACAGTTTAACCAGCTAGAGGGTTCCTGTTCATTTGGTTTAGGGTGGCAGCGAAGACATCCCCTCAAGCGTTGTGTGGGTACCAGTAAAGTCTTTATAAGTGGTGTAAACTTTTTATTAAAGGAGCCTTTATAATTTGGTGTCAGATGGTGGTATTGATCGTATTGCCATCTGCATAGCCTTTATAATTGGTAGGGCAGTGGTGATATTGTTTGACCCCTGCCCAGACGGCCATTGAGGGGTTATTATAATTGGTGGGGCAGCGGTGGGATTCTCTGACCCCCCTGCCCACACGGCCATCAAGCAGGTTATTATAGTCAACACAACATACCTCCTTTCTGTTCTATATGTCTCTGTCTTTTCTGTCCAAAAATGGCATTGAATGTTTGATGTGTATATGTTCTGTGATCCACCCTGAGACCCCTTTGAGGAATATAAATAACTAGCCATCCCCTGCCATGCATTGCTGTGGCCCAGTCTAGTGATCTGGAAAATAAAGTAATTAGAAAGTATTGGTTTCTAATATATGTAATGTCTTTATGCTTATGGGTAAACAGTATTTCTTGCTGTTTCTTTGTCAGTGTTGATGTGGAGATTGTCTGGTTTGCCCACTCTGGAACATGCAACATATCATTGTCCTTCTTTAGGGGTCCCTTTCAAATCTATGAGACTATATCTGTGTGTGTGTGAATCATATCTATCTCTATCTATGGCTAGATGTCTCTTTGTCAGGAGGGCTTTGATTACGTTTTCTTGTCCTGGTGAAGGGAGTTGGACTGGATGGCCTTAAGTATTTTCTGTTGGTCATGGGGGTTCTGTGTGGGAAATTTGTCGTTTGTGGGATTCAAAATGCTCTTTGATTGAAGGTGAGCTATAAATCCCAGTAACTACAACTCCCAAATGTCAAGGTCTATTTCCCCCAAACTCCATCTGTGTCCATATTTGGGCATATTGCGTATTCATGCCAAGTTTGGTCCAGATCCATCATTCTTTGAGTCTACAGTGCTCTCTGGATGTAGGTGAACTACAATTCCCAAACTCAAGGTCAGTGCCCACCAAACCCTTCTAGTGTTTACTGTTGCTCATGGGAGTCCTGTGTGCCAAGTTTGGTTCAATTCCATCGTGTATGGAGTTCAGAATGCTCCTTGATTATAGGTGAACTATAAATTCCAGTAACTACAACTCCTAAATGACAAAATCATAATTTTTGAGTGATGGTTACTCCTTGTGTTGTGAGATATTTTGTTGCCAAATTTGGTGTGATTTCGTTCATTGGTTCTTTTGTTTTTAAGGTACTCATTATGCACTGAGCATTTTTATATATATAGAAGTGTTATTATATATATGACTTCCACTTTTTATATAAATAAATCTGTTTTCATATTGGTGCTTTAACCTTCCATTTAAAGCAAGAAGCAAGGAATAATCGTTGGTATGACACTGTTGTTTGAAAGACAGACTGCCTGACTGGCAAACCTTTGTGTTTGCTTTTATTTGCTGTCAAGTAACCTTTTATTTATGGTGACCCCACAAATGATCATAATACCAAAGACCCTGCTAAGCTCCATGACTGAATCAGTCCATCTGTCATACAGTCCCTTATTGCTTATGACCTTCCATTTTATTAGGTACTAGCTTGGGTACCCACCGTTGCCCAGGTTATTTGAAAAAGCACACCATCATCCCCACCCCCCTCAGGGACATTCTCATGGGAAACTACACTTTGAACAGGGATCTCCTGGTCATTCTCTGCATCAATATCACTGACCAAACCATTGTCATCTTGAAATTAATCTTGCAACTTATTGACATCACTCCCCACATCCAAAGCACCCTTGTCCTGGAACACAATCACAGGCTGAGCTCCAACATCACTTGGGTGGTGGGTGATACTCTGTGGAAGACACTGGCTGGGCTCTTGTATATGTTACTTACAGCAAAGTACAGAGGAACACATCTAAAGCTTAGTGGCAATAATACTTCTTATCACACCCACTTTGCATGACATTTACAGTGACATGTAAATAAAATAACCTTCCCGGTGTCTGACTGCCACCCAAGGGGTTACGCCCATATGTGCAAACACAGAAAGCTAAGCAAGAGCAGAATCTCTGGGTGCATCTACACTGCAGAAATAATGCAGTTTGGTGTCAGCTTCACTCCCATGGCTCAATGTTCTGGAATCTTAGGATTTGTAGTTAAGTGAAGCAGCAGCACTCTTTGGCAAAGAAGAAGAGGAAGAAGAAGAAGAAGAAGAAGAGGAAGAAGAGGAAGAAGAAGAGGAGGAGGAGGAAGAGGAGGAGGAAGAAGCCACCATTAGAACAAATGCCATCAAAGCCAGAATTGAAAAGTCAACCACAGATCCCAAGTGTAGACTCTGCAAGGAAGCAGATGAAACAATAGATCACATCCTCAGCTGCTGCAAGAAGATCGCGCAGACGGACTACAAGCAGAGGCATAACACCGTTGCTCAGATGATTCATTGGAACTTGTGCCACAAATACCATCTGCCTGAGACAAAGAACCGGTGGGATCACAAGCCAGAAAAAGTTACAGAGAATGAACACGTCAAGTTACTCTGGGACTTCTGAATTCAGACAGACAGAGTTTTGGAGCACAATATTCCTGACCTCACGATCGTGCTAAAAAACATAGTATGGATTGTAGATGTTGCAATCCCAGGAAACGGCAGGATTGAAGAGAAGCAACTGGAAAAGCTGATACTATATGAGGATTTAAAGATCGAGCTGCAAAGACTCTGGCACAAGTCACTCAAGGTGGTCCCAGGTGGCCTGCACTTAAACACAACTGGTGCTGACAAGATTGCCATCTGCCAGCTGCAAAAGGCAGTCTTACTGGGATCTGCATGCATTATTCGCCGATACATCACACTGTCCTAGATACTTGGGAAGTGTCCGACGTGTGATCCAATACAACAACCAGCAGAGTGTCTGCTGTGGACTCATCTTGTGGTGTTTCAAATATAATAACAACACTTTATATTCCGCATTATCTCCCCAAGGGGATTCAGAGTGGCTTACAATATACACAGATTGGCAAACATTCGATGTCTTTAATACAGTGGAATAACAATGATATACAAATACATAGAACAAAAGTAAAGGCTTCCCCTTTCATGTCCAGCTTTCTGGGGGTGGTGCTCAACTCCGGCCATGGGGAGGTGCTTATGTTCCATTTCCAAGCTGAGGAGCCTGTTGTCTGTAGACACTTCCTGGTCGTGGTGCTGGCATGGCTGTATGGGCGCCTTTATAAACTTCCCACCAAAGTGGTACCTATTGATTTACCCACATTTGCATGTTTTCAAACTGCTAGGTTGGCAGGAGCTATGGCTAACAGCAGGAGCTCACCCTGACCAGCAGCTTCAAACTGCCAAACTTTAGGTCAGCAGATTAATGGCTGAACCCATTGCGCCACCACAGCAAAATACCTTGTAAAAACTACAGTCCTTATAATTCCATAATATTGTGCCATGGCACAAAAGTGGGATCCAGCTACATTAATTCTACAGTGTAGATGGACCCTCTGTTCCTCTAAAGTCATTGGTGATACCCAATCAATATTATTGGGTATTTGGGGGCCAAGGTGGGGTGAGGTGGGGGGGACAACGACTGGCCATTGATTTTTTGCCCACCAAGAAATAATAGGCTTAAAAACCCATTAGATTCTGTTAAATATGTAAAGGTATTAATTAGAAACTGCAGACTTACTAATGATTTCCAGCTTCTTTTCTCTTCAGCCACTTTTAACGCAAGGAATTTGTCTCTCTTTTGCTTCCAACTTTTCAGCTCCTTTTGAAATTCTTCCTTTTGAACAGAAAAATGATTGAACTGTGGTTTAGCACATTTGTGTGGAGAGGTAGGAGAAAATTAATTGTACTGGAAGATCTAAAAATGCCAGGAGAAGTATGTTGTCCTGGAATCTTTAGGTCCTCCAGCACAAACCTATGGTCAGTTTCCAAGGCATAGAGCTGTGGTGCAAAATCTGCTTCCTATAGAGAATATGTTAATCAAATCCTGCGAATAAACAAATCAGCAAAAATTAAACCCATAATGTTGGTGACCTGACTGTACTTCAGTTGGATTGCTGTGAGTTTTCCGGGCTGTATGGCCATATTCCAGAAGCATTCTGTCCTGACGTTTTGCCCACATCTATGGCAGGCATCCTCAGAGGTTGTGAGGTCTGTTGGAAACTAGGCAAGTGAAATTTTAATATCTGTGGAATGTCCAGGGTGGGAGAAAAAAAACTCTTGTCTGCTTGACGCAAATATGAATGTTGCAATTGGCCACCTTGATTAGCATTTAATGGTCCTGCAGCTTCAAAACCTGGATGCTTCCTGCCTGGGGGATCCTTTGTTGGGAGGTGTTAGCTGGCCTTGATTAATTCCCTCATTCTTTGAATGCTGCTTCAGTTTCAATTGTTTGCTGATTAAGGCTGTTTCTGCATAAATATTGCAATTTGACACCATATTAACAGCCACAACTCAATGCTATGGATTGCTGAGATTTGCAATTGGGTCAAGGTCTATTTTCTCCAAACTCCATCAGTGTTCACATTTGTGCATATTGAATATTTGTGCCAAGTTTGGTCCAGATCTGTCATTGTTTGTGTCTAGTTTCACCTACACCCAGTGCTGTCTGGGTGTAGGTGAACTACGACTCCAAAACTCAAGGTTAATGCCCACCAAACCTTTCCAGTATTTTCTGTTAGTCATGGGAATTCTGTGTGCCAAGTCTGGTTCAATTCCATCATTGGTGGAGTTCAGAATGCTCTTTGATTGTAGGCAAACTATAAATTCCAGCAACTACAACTCCCAAATGACTAAATCAATCTCTCCACAACCCCACCAGTATTAAATTTGGGCATATCGGGTATTTGGTCCAGTGAATGAAAAGACATCCTGAATATAAGATATTTACATTACGATTCATAATAGTAGCAAAATTACAGTTATGAAGTAGCAACGAAAATAATGCTATGGTTGGGGGTCCCCACAACATGAAGAAATGAATTAAGGGGTCGCAGCATTAGGAAGGTTGAGAAACACTGATCTACACTGTAAATTTAATGCCGTTTGACACCACTTTTACTGCCCTGGCTCAATGTTACAGAATCCTGGGATTTGTAGTTTGATGTGGCACCAGCAGAGAAGGCTAGCAAAACTGCAACTCCCATGATTCCGTAGCACTGAGCCATGGTAGTTGGAGTGGGGTCAAATTGTATTAATACTACAGTATGGACACTAACACGTTCAGTGTTGCCAAAGAAGTTACCTTGTACTCTCGAGCAGCCTCTTCTATAGGGATCGCAGTGTGATGCCGGTGCTCCTTGGACAGTTGGCACACCAGGCAGATGGGCACTTTGTCATCTTTGCAGAAGATCTTCAGGAGCTCCAGGTGGCTCTCACATACCCTCCTGCCGTCTTCTTGCCCATCCAGATTCAAGCATTTGATTATCTCTACCATTTTTGCCAGGTGATGGTTTTCAGTGGGGTTCCTTCGCGGGCTGCTTTCCCCACAAAATGGGCAAGAGACATTGTCCCCCAGTTCCCCCCAGCACTGAGCCAGGCAGGCTTGGCAGAAATTGTGCCCACAATGTATGGCCACCGGGTCTTTGAAATACTGCAAGCAGAGGGAGCAGGAGGCTTCTTTGCTCAGCTGTTCTATAAGCAGGCTTGTGTCCATTTTTCCTTCTGAGGAAGCTGAAGCTGACTTTCGCTTTCCTCTTTCCGACTGGACTTGTTTTGACTCATTCCTTCTCTCTCCTCCCTCCCATTGGCTGCAAGCCTTGTTTTGGAGACAACAGATTTCTCTAAGGAGGAAGTTGGCCTGAATTTAAATACAAGTTCACTTATAGTATAAATTAAGTCCAGCATTTGAACTTAAATAAGCAGCTGATTACTTTAACTGTCCTGGATCAATGCTATGGAGTTCTCAGAGTTGTAGTTTTACAAGGTCTTTAGTTTACCCAAGAGTGCACCAAACTACAGCTCCCAGGATTCCTAACACTGAGCCACTGCCTTTGAAGTGGTCTCAAACTAAATTAATTCTACAGGGGACATCTGTTGCTACTAAGAGTTTGCAACATATGTTTCCTAAGTCTTGGAAAGGATCAGGGCTGTTTCTGTTGCAGCTGACACAGTTAATTGATGAGTTAATTGAGTGTACTGTTATCTCATGTATATAGTAAGCCACTGTGTGTTTTGTTTTTTGAGCATTGTGTTCTACAAGAAAGGAGATTCCATCTGAACATGAGGAAGAACTTCCTGACTGTGTGAGCCGTTCAGCAGTGGAACTCTCTGCCCCGGAGTGTGATGGAGGCTCCTTCTTTGGAAGATTTTAAACAGAGGCTGGATGGCCACCTGTCAGGGGTGATTTGAATGCAATATTCCTGTTTCTTGGCAAGGGGTTGGACTGGATGGCCCATGAAGTCTCTTCCAACTCTATGATTCTAAAGCTTTGCTTGAGAGCTCATTCTGAGCTGAAAAGCCTTTGTTTGGTGCAGTTCTGCAAGCATCCTGAAGATAAAGATTGTTAACAGCAAGACAAGGTCACTCTACGGACAACTGAGTAAGGAGACTGTATATTGTTTTTGTTACAAGTCTGCATATCGCCGTTGGATGAGGAAAACTCACCGAAGATATTGTTTATGTTATGTTTTGGTGAGAGCAATTCTTCTGTCTTGTTTTGTATGCGGTGAATACAACTTCATTTTTTTCTACTTAAAACAAAAGATTCGTGTGTTTTCTTTTATGAGTTACTTTATCACCCTTAGAGTTACAAGGGCTAGAGTCATTCTGCGGGCTACTTATGCTAAATGCTGACAACATGCACCCAAAGTCTGCTTATATTCAGAATTGAATGACAATCTGATGCAGGTCAGACCATTTAAATCAGGCATGAGCAAACTTGGGCCCTCCAGATGTTTTGGGCTTCAACTCCCACAATTCCTAACAGCCTCGGGCTCCTTCCTTTCCCCCTCAGCCGCTTAAGCTTGGGCCCTCCAGATGTTTTGGGCTTCAACTCCCACCATTCCTAACAGCCTCAGGCTCCTTTCCTTTTCCCCCTCAGGAAAGGGCCTGAGGCTGTTAGGAATGGTGGGAGTTAAAGTCCAAAACATCTGGAGGGCCAAAGTTTGTCCATTCCCGATTTAAAGGAATGTTGTTGTTTTTAAAATCTACATATCTGCCATTAGCTATTTTGCTTGCCTTATTTGCCTTGAGGGCTTGGAGAAAGTTGGGACATAAATGACAGCATTGTTTGGAAGGGATGGCTAAAGAACATGTAAAACAACATGTCCCGTGATTCCAGAGCATTGAGTCACAGCAGGGAAAGTGTTGGAAATCAACATGAACCCTACAGTGTAGAATGACACATCTTAAGTGTGGGGAGAAAAGCCGCAGCTTTTTTTAAATTGCAGTACACAGAGAAGTTACTTTTCCCCCTTCATCAGGGGGAGAACTGTAGCTCAATCCTCTCTGCTCCCTGACCATCCAGATGCAAAGAAGTGGTGGGTAGAAAAGGAAAGATGGGAGACAGATAAGAAGAGAGAGATGGGAGGGAGGGAGAAAGAAAGGAGAACAGGAGGGAAGAATAAAGGAATGAAGGAGGTAAAGTGGGAAGAAAGCAAAGAAGGAGGGAGAAAGAAGGGAGGGAGGGAGGTGGGAAGGAAATAAGGAAGCAAAGGAGGGAGAAGGAGGGAGAAAGAGGGAAGAAAGGAAAAAAGAAGGAAGGAAGGATGGAAGGAAGGTAGAAAAAGAGAAAGAGAGAAGGAAGGTGGGCAGAAAAGTAAAGAAAGGACTCAGATAAAAAGAGAGAGATGGGAGGTAAGGAGAAAGAAAGTAGGGAGGGAAGAAAAAAGGAAGGAAGGTGGGAAGAAAGAAAACAAAGACTGGAGGAAGAAGGAAAGGAAGGTGGCAAGGAAGAAAGCAAAGAAGGGCGGGAGAAAGAAAGGAGGGAAGGAAGGAAAAAAGGGAGAAAGGAAGAATAGAAGGAAGTAGGAAAGAAAAAGGGAGAGAAAGATGATGGACCGAAAAGAAAGGGAGACAGATAAAAAGAGATGGGAGGGAGGGGGAAAGAAAAGAAAGAAGGTAAGAAAGGAAGGATAAAGAGAGGAAAAGTTGGAATTAATAAAACAGAAGAAGGGAGGGAGAAAAGGAGGGAAGGAAAAAAGAGGGAGAAAGGAAGAGTAGGAAGGAAGCAGTAAAAAGAAAAGAGAGAGGAGGAAGGAAGGTGAGAAGGAAGAAAACAGAGCAAGAAAGGGAGGGAGAAAGGAAGGGGGAAGGGAAGGAAAAAAGTGAATGGAGGTCAGAAAGGAAAAGAGAGGGAAGGAAGCAGGAATGAGAGGAGGGAGGGGGAAAGAAGAAAGCAAGAAAGGAAGGAAGGGGGGAGGGTGGAAGTGAAAGAGAATAATAATAACAACAATAATAAAACTTTATTTATATGCCGCCCTATCTCCCTAAAGGGACTCCGGGTGGTTTCCAACAAAAAAGGGCAAACATTCAATTCCAGAAGGAAGGAAGCAGGAAAGGAGGAGGGAGAGAAGGAAGGAAAGAAAAGAGAGGAGGGAGGAGAAAGAAGGAAGGACAGAAGGAGGAAAGGAAGGTAGAGAGGGAGGAAGAAAAGAAGGAAAAGGGAGGGGGGAAAGAAGGGGAAGGGAAGGAGAGAGAGAAGGAAGCAGGAAAGAGGGTGGAAGGGAAGGGAGGAGGAAACAACAGCGAGAAGAGGGAGACCTGGGAGGAAGAGAGAGACAGACAGAGAGAGGGAGAAAGGAAGAAGGGATGGAAGGAAAAAGGAGTGGGGGTGAAAGAAAGCAGAGAAGGAAGCAATTAGGAAAGAAAGGAGGGACAGAGGGAAGGAAGGAACCAGGAAAGAGAGGAGGGTGGGAGAAGGGAAGGGAGGAGGAGATGACAGAGAGGAGGAAGGAAGGAAGGAAAAAAGGAGAAGGCAAGGAAGAAATGAAGGAGAAGGGAAGGAGAGAGGGAAGGAAACAGGGAGAGAGGGTGGGAAGGGAAGTGAAAGGAAGAGGAGAGGACAGAGGGGTGGTAGCGAGGGAGGGAAGAAGGAAGGAAGGAAAGAAGAAAAAGGAGGAGGGGAGAAAGGAGGGAGAAGGAAAAGAGAAGGAAACGGAAGGAAGGGAAAGGAGAAGGAGGAGAAGATAGAGAGAGAGGAAGGAAGAGGGAGGAGAGAAAGGAAGGAGATGGGAAGGAGAGAGGAAAGGAAACAGGGAGAGAGGGAGGGAAGGGAAAGGAGGAAGAGGAAAGGATAGAGAGGAGGGAGGGTGGGAAGTAAAAGGAATTAGAAGAGAGGATAGAGAAGAGATAGGAAGGAAGTCGAAGTGAGGGGAGAAAGGAGGGAGACGGGAAGGAAACAGGGAGAGAGTGAGGAGGAGAAGAAGATAGAGAGGAGGGAGGGAGGGGAAAGGAAAGGAAGAGAGGATAGAGAGGAAGGAAGGGAGGAGGAAAGGGAGAGAGGAAAGAGGGGGAGAGACAGGGAGAGAGAGGGAGAGAAGGAAAAGGAGGAAGAGGAGAAGGATAGAGAGGAGGGAAGGGAAAGGAGAGGAAGAGAGGATAGAGAGGAAGGAAGGGAGGAAGGAAGGAAGGGGAGAAAGGGAGAAGAGAAGAAGAGAGGGAAGGAAACGGGGAGAGAGAGAGGGAAGGTAAAGGAGGAGGAGATAGAGAGGAGGGAAGGGAAGGGAAAGGAGAAGAGAGGATAGAGAGGAGGAAGGAAGTTGAAGGGAAGGAGAAAGGAGGGAGACAGGAAGGGGAGAGGGAAGGAAACAGGTAGAAAGGGAGGGAAGGGAAAGGAGGAAGAGGAGGGAGTGAGGGAGGGGAAAGGAAGAGGAAGGGAGGATAGAGAGGAGGAAGGAAGAAAGGGGAGAAAGGGCGAAGAGAAGGAGAGAGGGAAGGAGACGGGGAGAGAGAGGGAAGGGAAAGGAAAGGAGGAGAAGATAGAGAGGAGGGAAGGGAAAGAAGAAGAGAGGATAGAAGGAAGGAAGGCAAAGGGAGAGGAGAAAGGAGGGAGACGGGAAGGAGAGAAGGGAAGGAAACAGGTAGAAAGGGAGGGAAGGGAAAGGAGGAAGAGGAGGGGAGGAGGGAGGGGAGGGAAAGGAAGAAGAAGAGGGATAGAGAGAAGGAAGGAAAAAAGAGGAGAGAGGGAAGGAAACAGGGAGAGAGGGAGGGAAGGGAAAGGAGGAAGAGGAGGGGAGGAGGGAGGGGAGGGAAAGGAAGAAGAAGAGAGGATAGAGAGAAGGAAGGAAGGAAGGAAGGAAGGGGAGAAAGGGAGAAGAGAAGGAGAGAGGGAAGGAAACGGGGAGAGAGAGAGGGAAGGTAAAGGAGGAGGAGATAGAGAGGAGGGAAGGGAAGGGAAAGGAGAAGAGAGGATAGAGAGGAGGAAGGAAGTTGAAGGGAAGGAGAAAGGAGGGAGACAGGAAGGGGAGAGGGAAGGAAAACAGGTAGAAAGGGAGGGAAGGGAAAGGAGGAAGAGGAGGAGTGAGGGAGGGGAAAGGAAGAGGAAGGGAGGATAGAGAGGAGGAAGGAAGGAAGGGGAGAAAGGGAGAAGAGAAGGGGAGAGGGAAGGAAACGGAGAGAGGGAAGGGAAAGGAGGAAGAGGAGAAGATAGAGAGGAGGGAAGGGAAAGGAGAAGAGAGGATAGAGAGGAGGAAGGAAGGGGAAGGAGAAGAAGGAAGGGGAAGAGGGAAGGAAAAGTAGAAGGGAAGGGAAAGGAAGGAGGAGAGGAGGGAGAGGGAAGGGAAAGAAGAGGAAGGAGGAAGAAGGAGGAAGAAGGATGGAAGGAAGGCAAGGAAGGAAGGAAGGAAGAAGGAAGGGGAAGAAAGGAGAAGAGAAGGAGAGAGGAAGGAAAGGAGAGAGAGAGGGAAGGAAAAGGAGAAGATAGAGAGGAGGGAAGGGAAAGGAGAAGAGGAAAGAGAGGAGGAGGAGAAGGAAGGGAGAGGAGAAAGGGGGAGAAGGAGGGAAGAGAGAAGGAAGGAAACAGGGAGAGAGGGAGGAAGGAAGGGAAAGGAGGAAAGAGGAGGGAGGAGGGAGGGGAGGAAAGGAAGAAGAAGAGAGGATAGAGAGAAGGAAGGAAGGAAGGAAGGAAGGAAGGAAGGAAGGAAGGAAGGAAGGAAGGAAGGGGAGAAAGGGAGAAGAGAAGGAGAGAGGGAAGGAAACGGAGAGAGAGAGGGAAGGGAAAGGAGATAGAGAGGAGGGAAGGGAAAGGAGAAGAGAGGATAGAGAGGAGGGAGGGAGGAAGGCAAAGGGAGAGGAGAAAGGAGGGAGACGGGAAGGAGAGAAGGGAAGGAAACAGGGAGAGAGGGAGGGAAGGGAAGGGAGAGGAGAAGGGGAGGAAAAGAAGAAGGAAGAGAGGAGAGGAGAGAAAGGAAGAAGGGAGGGAAAAGGGAGAAGAAGAGAGAGAGGGGAGGAAACAGGGAGAGAGGAAGAGGAAGAGGAAAAGATAGAGAGGAGGGAAGGGAAAGGAGAAGAGAGGATCAGAAGAGGAAAGAAGGAAGGCGAAGGGAGAGGAGAAAGGAGGGAGACGGGAAGGAGAGAAGGAAAGGAAACAGGGAGAGAGGGTGGGAAGGGAAAGGAAGAGGAAGAGAGGATAGAAAGGAGGAAGGAAGGAAGGGGAGAAAAGGAGAAGAGGAGAGAGGGAAGGAAACAGGGAGAGAGGGAGGGAAGGGAAGGAGAGAGAGAGGAGGGAAGGAAAGGGAGGGAGGAAAGAGAGGAGGAAGGAAGGAAGGAAGGAAGGAAGGAAGGAAGGAAGGAAGGAAGGAAGGAAGGGAAGGCAGGAAGGAAGGAAGGAAGGAAGGAAGGAAGGAAGGAAGGAAGGAAGGGGAGAAAGGGCGAAGAGAAGAAGAGAGGGAAGGAAACAGGGAGAGAGGGAGGGAAGGGAAAGGAGGAGGAGAGAAAAGAGGAAGGGAGGGAGGAAACAGAGAGGGAAGGAGGAGAAGGAGAGGGCAGAGAGAAGGGAGGGGAGAGGGCGGAGTCCGGCGGCCATGGAGGACCCGATGGAGAGCCTGCAGAAGGAAGCCACTTGCTCCATCTGCCTGGAGTACTTCCGCGAGCCGGTCTCCATCCCGTGCGGGCACAGCTTCTGCCGGAGCTGCATCGCCCAGTGCTGGAAGGAGCGCAGCCTCAGCTTCCCGTGCCCGCAGTGCCGGGAGGTGGCCCTGCAGAGGAACTTCAGGCCCAACCGGGAGCTGGGCAACGTGGTGGAGATCACCAAGCGGCTCGGCCTCCACGCCTTGGACTCGGCCGCGGGCGGGGAGGGCGCCGGGCGGAGGGAGCGGGAGGGCGGCCGCCTGTGTGAGCGGCACCGGGAGGCGCTGAAGCTCTTCTGCGGGGAGGAGGAGCAGCTCATCTGCTGCATCTGCAGGGAGTCCCGCGCCCACCGCACCCACGCCGTCTTCCCCGCCGAGGAGGCCGCCCAGGACTATAAGGTCCGCCAGGCAGGGCACTGCACCTCCCAGCATCCTCCCACAAGTCCTCCAAAGCAGGCCAGGGCCAACTTGGGCCCTCCAGGGGTTTTGGATTCCAACTCCCACCATTCCTAACAGCCTCAGGCCCCTTTCCTTTTCCCCCTCCGCCGCTTAAGCGGCGGAGGGGGAAAAGGAAGGGGCCTGAGGCTGTTAGTAATGGTGGGAGTTGGAGTCCAAAACACCTGGAGGACCCAAGTTGGCCTAGACCTATCCTAGAGCCAAACCCTACCGGATAACAAGGGCCCACTCTATACTGAGAGTGAAAATATTGTGCTGTCGATGGCTTTCATGGCCGGAATCACTGGGTTGTTGTAGGTCTTTTGCGGTTCTATGGCCATGTCCTAGAAGCATTCCCTCCTGACGTTTCGCCTGCATCTATGGCAAGCATCCTCAGAGGTGTTGAGGTCTGTTGGAAGCTAGAAAATTGGGTTTCTATATCTGTGGAGAAGGAGGAAACAGAAATGTTGGACCACTCTAACATCCACCATGTCAGGCTACACAGAGGCTGGATGGCCATCTGTCGGGGGTGCTTTGAATGCAATATTCCTGCTTCTTGTCAGGGGGTTGGACTGGATGGCCCATGAGGTCTCTTCCAACTCTAGGATTCTAGGAAATCCACAAGCATGTGGACAATTTCAACAGAAAGGAAGAAACCATGAGAATGAACAAAATCTGGCTACCAGTATTAAAAAACACTCTGAAATCAGGACAGCAAATAAAGCACAACAGTCAAAAACAGGGGAACTCCAGACAAGAAACAATCAGGGACAGATATTTTTTATTTATTTATCGTGTCATTAGCAACCAGACATTTGCGTCTGATCTCACTACCTCTGAGGATGCTTGCCATAGATGCAGGAGAAACGTCAGGAGAGAATGCCTCTAGAACATGGCCATATAGACCGAAAAAACCTACAACAACCCTTTGTTGTTGTTGTTGTCCCCCACCCTGGACTTTCCATTGGTATATAAACCCAATTTTCCTAGTTTCCAAGAGACCTCACAACCTCTGAGGATGCTTGCCATGGATGCAGGCAAAACGTCAGGAAAGAATGCTTCTAGAACATGGGCATATAGCCCAAAAAACCAACACAACCCAGTGAAAATATTATTTCACACAGAGGTCTAGAAGTACATTCAGATCTACTGCCTTTCCATTCTGCACTAAAGGACACAAATATAGGAGACACTGCTGTCTTGCTTTTACTACATCGGGAGATTTAAATCTCCCACGTCTGAAAAGTGACAGACTGTAGTAAGAAACTACAAGCAGATCCAACTTTCCGCCTCCTTATTGCAGGAAGGATGACTAGAACCAAAGTCATAGGCACTCTTTATGATGCACAGCTGAGAGACTGGAGATCGGGAAAGAACAGCGGGAAGCTAAACAGAATTCAAAACTTGGGTTGTTGTGTGTTTTCTGGGCTGTATGGCCATGTTCCAGAAGCCTCCACTCCTGCTGTTTCTCCTGTGAGGGCCTCACAACCTCTAAAGAAACCTGCCATAGATGGAGGTGAAATGTCAGGAGAGAATGCTTCTGGAATGTGGCCATATAGCCCGGAAAACACACAACAACCCAATGATTCCGGCCATGGAAGCCTTCGACAATACATAAAATTCAGAAACAATCTCAACAGCTTAGAGAGATGATGGGCCAAAACTGACAAAATGAATTTCAACAGGGACAAATGCAAGATGCTCCACTTAGGCAGAAAAAAATGAAATGCAAAGACACAGAATGAGAGATGCCTGGCTCGAGAGCAGTACATGTGAAAAAGATCTTGGAGTCTTTGTGGACAACAAGTTGAACATGAGCCAACTATGTCATTCGGTGGCTAAAAAAGTCAGTGGGATTTTGGCCTGCATCAAGAGGAGCTTAATGTCTAGATCCAGGGAAGTCATGCTATCCCTCTATTCTGCCTTGGTCAGACCACATCTGGAATATTGTGTCCAATTCTAGGCACCACAATTGAAGGGAGATGTTGACAAGCTGGAATGTGTCCAGAGGAGGGTGACTAAAATGATCAAGGGCCTGGAGAACAAGCCCTATGAGGAGCGGCTTAAAGACCTGGGCATGTTTAGCCTGCAGAAGAGTGGCTGAAGGGAGACGTGATGATGGTCATGCATAAATATGTGAGGGGAAGTCATAGGGAGGAGGGAGCAGTCTTGTTTTCTGCTACCCTGGAGACGAGGATGCAGAACAGGGGCTTCAAATTACAGGAAAGGAGATTCCATCTAAACATTAGGAACTGTTTCTGAGTGGAACTCTGTGCCCTGGAGTTTGCTGGAGGCTTCTTCTTTGGAGGCTTTTAAGCAAAGACTGGATGGCCATCTGCCGGGGGTGCTTTGAATGTGATATTCCTGCTTCTTGGCAGAGGGTTGGACTGGATGGCCCATGAGGTCTCTTCCAACTCTATGATTCTAGGAAATTACACAGGGATCTAGAAGTATATCCAGATCTACTGCCTTTCCATTCTGCACTAAAGGACAGAAAGATACGAAACATTGCTGTCTTGCAGTTACTACATCAGGAGATTTAAATCTCCCACGTCTGGAAGGTGCCAGACTGTTGATGTAGTAAGAAACTACAAGAAAAGCGCATTCAACTTTCCGCCCCCTCATTGCAGGAAGGATGACTAGAACCAGAGTCATAGGCACTCTTTGTGATGCTCAGCTTTGTTTTTATCGTGTCAGAAGCAACTTGAGAAACTGCAAGTCGTTTCTGGTGTGAAAGAATTGGCCGTCTGCATAGATGCTGCCCAGGGGATGCCGGGATGTGTTACCATCCTGTGACAGGCTTCACTCATGTCCCCGCATGGGAAGCTGGAGCTGCCAGATGGAGGGCTCACCCCGCGGATTTGAACCCCGACCTTCAGGTCAGCAGTTCAGCCAGCACGAGGGTTTAACCTCTTGTGCTACCACAGCTCCCTGATGCTCAGCTGAGATACTGGAGATCAGGAAAGAACATCAAGAAGCTAAACACAAATATCCTGAAATGTTAGAATTAACCCTATTATCTGAATGGTAATGAATGATTAGAGAATAAGGGTCCATCTGCACTGTAGAATGCAGTTTGACACCACTTTGACTGCCATGGCTCAATGCTATGGAATCCTGGAGAGGTGTAGTTTGGTGAGGCATTGTATTTTTATATGCCATGCCACTTTTTTGCTGAATTAGAGGGCGGGGAATGAAGTTAATGGCAGTAAAAATATATATAGTTTGTTTCTCTTTGTTTAGAAAGAAATCCAGACCCGGCTACAGAGTTTGAAGGAGGAGAGGGAGACCCTCCTGGGGCTGAATTTGGCTGGAGAACTTACACACCAGGAATATCTGGTCAGTACTGAATGCAGTGATACAACTTAACCAGATTGCGGTTGGTCATTGCAGTATCTTACTTGTATTTTTACTTTCAACATGAATCACACCAAGATTTCTAATTATATTAAGACATTTGAATTAAAAGCTTTGAAAAATATGAAAGCAGAAATCACCTTTTAAATATAAAATGTACTCTGCCTTTTGTTGCTAGTGTGAAACTAGAATGTTGGCTATAGGAGACTCCCAATTAAATGGAGAAATACTTTTACTTAATGTGTTGTACTTAGGCGATCCCTTGTTGTCCGAGTATGATGGCCTTCCAAGTCTAGTGTCTTGGCGGTGGGTCCGTAGGCGACTGTAGCACAGCGAGGGCATTGGATTCCAGGTGGAAGGCGGTCCCAGTCAGTGTTGGCTTGATGTGCCTTGCTCTTGGCATGTCAAGCCAAGAGGCTCTTGACCTCTTCAAATTCCACAGCATTGCTGGTCACAGCTGACCTCCAGTAAGAGTGCTCAAAAGCTTCCCAGTTCTCGGTGGAAAGTGCCACAGTTTTTAAGGTTAGTTTTAAGTCCATCTTTAAATTTCCTTTCCTGTCCACCAACATTACGTTTTCTGTTCCTGAGTTGGGAGTAGAATAACTGCTTTGGGAGATGTGATCGGGCATTCAGAAAATGGCCAGTCCAGCAGAGTTGATGTGGAGGAGTATTGCTTCAGTGCTGATAGTCTTTACTTCTTCCAGCACACTGGCATTTGTCCGTCTGTCCTCCTAAGAGATTTGCAGGATTTTTTGGCGGCAGCACTGATGGAATCATTCCTGGAGTTGAGTGTGATGTCTGTAGACAGTCTACATTTTATTGTCAGAGGCTTTCATGGCTGGAATCACTGGGTTGTTGTAGGTTTTTTCAGGCTATATGGCCATGTTCTAGAGGCATTCTCTCCTGACGTTTCACTGCATCTATGGCAAGCATCCTCTGAGGATGCTTGCCATAGATGCAGGCGAAACGTCAGGAGAAATGCCTCTAGAACAGGGGTAGGGAACCTTTGGCCCTCCAGCTGTGGTGGACTTCAACTCCCACAATTCCTTGAGGCTCGGCATTCGCCCCAAAGGCTTACCTTGGCCCAATGCCGAGCCTCAAGGAATTGTGGGAGTTGAAGTCCACCACAGCTGGAGGGCCAAAGGTTCCCTACCCCTGCTCTAGAACATGGCCATATAGCCCAAAAAAACCTACAACAACCCAGTCTACATTTTGCAGGCATATCACAGGGTTGGGAGGACAAATAAACAAGCACCTTGGCCTCTCTACAGATGTCCCGATCCTCAAACACTCTCTGCTTCATTCGGAAAAATGCTGCACTCGCAGAGCTCAGACAGTGTTGTATTTCAGTGTCAGTGCTGACTTTTGTGGAGAGGTGGCTGCCAAGGTAGCAGAAATGGTCAACATTTTCTAATGTTGCACCATTAAGCTGTATTTCTGGCATTGCAGATGGGTTGGTTGGTGACTTTTGGAAGAGTACTTTGGTTTTATCGCTGTTTAATGAAAGGCTGAGCTTCTCATATGCTTCTGCAAAGGTGTTTAGAGTGGCTACTTTATCATCAGACTACTTTATCATCAGAATATCATCAGATGTTGTTGTGACCTTGGTTGTTTTTATAATACAGTAAAATTTTGTTGCATTAAGTTAAATTTGTGTTTATTTGCTTTTAATTAGTATATTTCAATATTAATATCAGATCAATACAGAGTTTATGCTATGGTATACTATGGGGTATAGTATTAGTTAGGCCTATTTTTAATAGTAAATGTTAAGCAAACATAAATTACATTTACCCAGTATTTCCAGTGCTACCAGTTAGCGGAGTAGTTTCATCTACACTGCCATATAATGCAGTATAAAATGGCATTACATGGCAGTGAAGATGGGACCAGAGTCAATTGTATGTATTTATATTTTCCCTTATGTTCACTTTGGCTTCTGCTCAGAAAAAGATGGTATATAGAAGTACAAAAATTCCAATATCCTTATCCATATGTATTTATTTAGGAAGATGGCATCTTACACAGAATTCCAAGTATTTTAGTTTCAGTGCCCTAAGAAATGTACTTCTTGCCTTTATATCTTCTAATACAGAACCAAACGGAAGTCGAAAGACAGAAAGCTATGTCTGAATTTGGGCAAATGCATCTCTTTCTGGAACAGCAAGAAAAGCTTCTGCTGGGGCAGCTGAACGAACTGGAGAGGGAGATTGTTAAGCGCCAGAAGGAACACAGCGCCAAGTTTTCGGAGGAGATTTTCTCTCTCAATGCGATGATCAATGAAGTAGAAGAGAAGTGTGAGCAGCCAGATAGCGAATTCCTTCAGGTGAGTTCAGGTGGTTCTTGGGGAAAACCTTGAGAAAAAAGATATGTTGACATAAGCAACCGATAGGAGGAAACCATGAAAATGAACAAAATCTGGCTAGCGATATTTTAAAAAGGTATTAAAAAGTATTAATAAAAGTATTAAAAATCAGAACAGTGAATAAAGAGCAACACTCAAAAAGCAGGGGAATTCCAGACAAGAATAAATCAGGACCAGCTAACACCTCCCAACAAAGGATTCTCCCAGGCAGCAACCAGCCAGGTTTTGAAGCTACAAGGCCATTCTGTGCTAATAAAGCTGGCCAACTGCAACATTCACAATTGCCTCAAGCAGTCAAGACTTCTTTCTCCCACGCTGGATCTCCACAGATATATAAACCTCACTTGCTTAGTTTCCAACACACCCCTCAACCTTTGAGGGTGCCTGCCGTAGATGTGGGTGAAATATCAGGAGAGAATGCTTCCATACGGTCTGAAAAACTCACAGCAAACCTGTTGACATAAGGTTTCTTTAGTTAGTCCTCTTGGCTAAAGTTCAAGCTTGATTTCCTCCTGAGTCATTTGTTTTTATTTCTGGCAGTCTGTGACATTTTTAATCACTCATCTCAAACAACACATTTCAGATTACTTGGTTATTTTCATGCTAACTTTCTTTAGTATCCAGCTTTCACACATACAGCCTCTGATGATGCAGGCGAAATGTCAGGAGAGAATGCTTCTAGAACATGGCCATATAGCCCGAAAAACCTACAACAACACACTAAAAATCAAATCCATGCTTAATCAAATCCACCAAAATGAAACAAGTGTAAGGTATTGGCTGTATGCAAAAATATCAACACGTTTAAAATAAGGTAGGTTTTTTTTATTTACAGTTTTTCACTTTTATGGCAGTTCTGTGATCCTAGCCCCAGTGTACTTTCATTCCAAGGCTTGTCTATTATTTATAATTCAAAGACGGGCAGTACTTTCAAAGCCTGTCTCTTTATCAGGTAAAAGTGCCTACAATGAGAAGCCTTTCACTGTGATGAACTATTCCTGTTTTTCTCTCCCCAGTTATATTTCTTTCTCTCTTCTCTTCTTCTCTCTTCTCTTATTTAGGATATCAGAAGCACACTGTGCAGGTATGTGCCTCCATCACTTCTCAACCAGAGGTGTCACTTCCTTGATTTCTTTTTCTGGTTTCTGGTAGAAATACAGGATAAAATTAGAATATTGATCTATCTGACACAAAGGCCGGCATCCATCAAGAACTCACCCATTTTCCACCATACTCAGGATCTCATGCCCCACATGCTTGAACCCAGTGGTTGAAAACAGCTACAAAACAGAGTGGGTTTATTCCCCCCTCCCTATTTCTTGAAAATCTCCCAAAAGCAGTCTCCCCTTCAAAAGAGGGAAAGGATTTAAGTTTCCTTTAAAAAGCCAAAATAGAACGGGAAGTAAATGATACCACTTGTGATCTTGATTTCAGATGATTTTCACCTTTTGGAGCTTCTGACCTTTTTCTCAAAGTGTGTAAGGTGCAGGGTAGCATGACTCGAGGATAATTACCAAAAGGTGGAAAGATTTATTTATTTCGTGTCAAAAACATTGCATAAATAAATTAGTATAAAACTGGATAAAAAGGAGGGAACACAAGCGGCTAAATAATTTTTGAACAATAACAGGCAACAGCGACTGCATTGTCTGTAGCTTTAAACAATTCTTCCTCTGTGCATGAGGCTGGGCATTGTGGGCAAGCATACAGATACAGAGTTGTTTATTCTGCTCCACAGTCACACAAAGTGGAGGATGATTCTAGGTAGTGCCAATTTGCCAGGTTGTCTTTTGATCTTCCCACTCCACTTCTGAGGCCGGATCCAGACAGGCCTTTATTCCAGGAGAATCCACATTTAAAAACGTGGATTTTTGTGGGGGCCTGTCCACACCCACCCCAGAAAGTGCACGCTTTCTGTGGTGGGTGTCCAGATGTTCTCTCAGGACTAGCCTGAGAGAACTTACGGAGGCCCACCCACCCACTCCCCTCCCCACAGCCCCCAGATCCTTTTGAAAACTAAAAAAAAACTTACCCACTATCTAATTAATTTGCTACAAACCAGGCTCAGTCCCGGATTTATTCAGAACTGTCCAGAATATTGTCTGAGTAAGACAAGGCCAGGGCTGATGTTCTTACTAATTTTGGATCTGCACCCCATGCGCTGCCAGTAAGCTTCCACAGGATATTATTGCGTGCAGCTACTTTGTGCTTGGTGTTCATACAGTGTTTCCTAAATGTTAGTGTTTGATCTAACGCAAATATGGTAAAAGCCTCTTCGAAGACTGAGTAAATACAGTTGGGCGTCCCCTGGGCAACATTTCTTGTAAACGACAAATCTTTCCAACCCAAAAACATTGCTTTACTAGGGAAAGATTAGACTCTCATATTTCAGTTTATTGGTGGAAACGGATTTCCCTGTATCACTATATATTCTAGGACACCTTCTCCAGAATTTTAATCAACAGTGGCTTCTTTTTTCTATGACCAAAACTTGAGTCAATATATCTCTAAAATGCTACATACATCTACTGTCTGAAGGCCTGGTCCCAGAACCATGATTTTAATTTTTTTCGAAAAGCCAGGAGGGAGGGAGTGGATCCAGTGAAATTATCAGAAAATGATATGATTGTTCTCTTTCTAGGTTTGATAGGGACCCATTTGAACCACCTAAGGAAATGCCATGCAAAATCGAAAAGAGACTAAATGAATTCTCTGAAAAGAACAATGCGCTCACAGAAATCGTGAAGAACCTCAAAGGTATGGTCAGTCTGCTTGTCAAATTAGAAGTGATGCTTGAAATAAAAAGTTACAGGATGGAGGCTGCTAGTCAGCCTCCCAGGTGCTCTGGAGAAGTCAGATCTGGACATGGTGGCACCTGCTTTGGATCTCACTTTGAGAAAAAGGAGGGAAATAAATTCAGTAAAGAAATACATGCCATTTGGATTACTGTAATGCACTCTACATGGGGCTGCCTTTGAAAAGTGTGCAGAACAATAGAAGCTGGCCATAGAATCATGCTGGGGGACCTAGAAATTCCTAGAGAACATATTAGTCAAATCCACAAATAATCAAATCTGCAAAATAAACTTATTACCAAAATTTATAAAAAAAATATTGGAATGGGAAATGGAAAAGGAGAGGGTTAAGGACTGCATGGTAAAATGGGCGGCCAACGTTGGCCACACAATAAGTTTGGATAATTGGGGGGAAAAGTGGACAAGGAAAATAAAATTCACTTATTTGTATGATATCCAGGAAAACTGGTATAAATTTTTTTTCAGTGGTATATAACACCGGACAAACTTTCAAAATGTTATAAAAATACAAATGAAAAGTTTTGGAAATGCGATAAAGAAAGAGGAACTTTCCATCACATGTGGTGGAGCTGTGAAATAACCAAAAAATATTGGAGGGAGATATATAAAGCAATTCAAAAAAATTTCCCTTCCCTCTTGGTCCTCATAAATTTTCTCCGGTTCTTATATTTTATTTATATATAAAACACTACTCCATTGGTTTTCTTGCAATTACATGTTGTAAATAATTGACCTATTTTTTCTTGCTTTACAATATGCTTCTCCTTGTGCAACAAATGTGATTCCTTGATACGTGTTATGTTTGTCTTAACTTTATACAAATAATGAAAAATCCTCTTTCTCTTAATATTTATTTATTTATTTACTATATTTATATACCGCCCCTCTCAGCCCAAAGGCGACTTGGAGAGGTTCACAAATTGGCAACAATTCGATGCCTCAACAATTATAACAAGTAAAAACAATCAAGAAATTCTGTTAAAAACAATAGCATATGATATAAAAAATATAAAAACCCGTACAAAGCCTTAAAACATTATCGTGAGCGTCTCCATGTCAGATCTTAATACAGTTATTCAACTCATTTGCATTACATGAAATTATATTTATTCTATCTGATATTAACCAAATAATCTCCTCCCTTGTCTTCCCCACTCCCGCAGCCCAAGAAAGGCAAAGAGTTCGTAAAATAATGGCACCACTAAAATAATGGCACCACTAATCACAAATGAGTCCCTTTCTCCGACTCTTCCTCTTCTTCATCATCTTCTGTCTCCTCCTGTATTTTCTGTTCTTTTCTTCTGGTCTGCTGTTTCTGTTTCTTTGCCATACCCCTTGTAGAGTCTGCTGTCTTCTGTTTTGTTGCTAAGCCTCCTCTGGATCATGGTCTTCAGTAAAATCTTTATTATACTTCCAAAGGACTGATGACTTCTTATGCTGTGGCGGCCTTTCCTGATGAAAAGCAAAAGAAAACCCAGCCCCTTCCCACGACCGCATCATCAAACCCTGTTCTTCTAGAAATAAGAGCTATGTTTCAAGAGCTGAAAGCTGGCCTGGATCTTTTGAAAGATGAAATTAAATCAATGGAAGAGGATATTTAACCTTAGAATGCCAGGACTGGATGGAATCCAAAGTATCCAAAATTGATGTGGATTGTAAGTCTGTGAGGAAAAGAACAGACCAAAACTCAGATAAAATTTCACATTTGGAGGAAGTTCAGGAAGAGGTCTTCAATAAAATGGACTTGATGGAGCTGAAGGCCAATGAAAATGCAATCAGAATTAGAGGCTTGCTGGAAATGTGGAAAGAGGAGATTTGAAATCTTATCTGGTAACCCTAATAGCAGTTCTCATTGGAGCGAAGGAGACAAATGCGGTCTACGCAACTATTCCAACAGCGTGCAGAGTCAATATAACGTACGCAAGAGTGAAAAAAGTACCAAGAGACTGCATCCTACAGTCGATTTGATACTCCAAAAGCAATATGAAACACCAGTTACAGTGGCAGGAAGCAGAATCTTGATGCTTAAAGAAATATCAGTGAAGCTGTATAAGAAAAGGAATATATTTGCACCTCTGGTACATATGCTGAAGAAAGCGGGAATTTCTTTCAGATGGCAGTTTTCACAAGGAGTGCCCTTTTATTATAAAGGAAAGAGACCTTCAATCCTGAACTCCTCAAAGGCAGAGCAATTATTGGGGGGAAACACTTTCCTGAAAGAAGTTATTTTCCCACAGATTCCTCCAGTGGCAATTTAGCGTGAGTTGTATTGTTGAAGGCTTTCATGGCTGGAATCACTGGGTTGTTGTAGGTTTTTCAGGCTATATGGCCATGTTCTAGAAGCATTCTCTCCTGACGTTTCTCCTGCATCTATGACAAGCATCATAGACCTCACAACCTCTGAGGATGCTTGCCATAGATGCAGGCAAAACGTCAGGAGATAATACTTCTAGAACATGGCCATATAGCCCAAAAAACTTACAACTAAGTGTGAATTTCTGGGAATTGTAGTCCAAAAGTTAAAAACTCAAGCCCTACTTTTTCTTGACTGGTAATTAGCTTGTCTCATGTAGATCAGAGATTCTGGCTCCTTCCACACTGTAATTATATCCCAGGACCCAATCCCAGATTATATTCTTATCCCAGATTATCAGGCAGTGAAGTCTCATATAATCCAATTTAAAGCAGATAATCTGGGACTAAATCCTGGGATATAGGGCGCTGTAGAAGGAGACTCAGAGGAAGTGCCATGCAGAAGTTGGATAGTTTTGATTCTTTTTTGAAATGTGCCCCTACCTTCTTCTTTTTAGATACTCTGCCATCAGAACTGGGAACAGAATGGGGTAAGTATGCATCGAAGATAATTGAAAAAGATTTTATTTACATTTAGATGTATAGGAAAGTTGTATAGATGCAGAAGGATCTGTGCCAGAGCAAGCTAGATGTTTCTGGTTTGCTTGTTTTATCCAGGCTGCGTTTAGAAATGGTAGCAGCAATACTATTACAAATTCACAATATGTTGTTGGTTTTTTTGTTGTGTCAGGAGTGACTTGAGAAACTGCAAGTTGCTTCTGGTGTGAGAGAATTGGCCGTCTGAAAGGACGTTGCCCAGGGGACGCCCGGATGATTTTGATGTTTTTATCATCCTTGTGGGAGGCTTCTCTCATGTCCCCGCATGAGGAGCTGGAGCTGATAGAGGGAGCTCATCCGCCTCTCCCCGGATTTGAACCTGCAACCTGTCGGTCTTCAGTCCTGCTGGCACAGGGGTTTAACCCACTGCACCACTAGGGGCTCCACAATATGGTTAATACCCGTAATATAGAGGTCTTTAAACAGGTTGGGTGGGCATTTTTCCAGAGTACTTTAGCTGTGTTTTCCTGACTGGCAGAAGGTTGGAATAGATGTCTCAGTGGTCCTTTCCAATTCTAAGGTGCTATGAGTCTCTGTAGCAGGATTGTATAATATGTATCAATATGTATGTTGTTAGACTGTAGCTTCCATCAGCCCTAGCCTGAATAGTCGTTGCTGAAGGATCATCGGTGTTGCAACATCTGAGCCTCCCCTAATAATAATAATAATAATAATAATAATAATAATAATAATAATATCCTGCCACAATCTCTCCCCCACCCAGTGTTTCCCATTTATGCCACAGAGATTCTCAGGGAACTATGTGAAAGTTCCAGCCATGTTATTGGATCGTATGTACTGTTCCTGTTGCAAAAAGACTTGCACTTCAAGCTGAGATATAGCCACATCTGTTTATTTTAATGCTCAGAATATATCAATACATTTTATAGATGTTAAATTTCAAGAAAGTATATACCTGGAAATGTGGTGAAGTTATATTAATGCATATGTTAACCCTCCCTTATATGCCAAGTATTTCCTTAACCCACTTTTTGCCTATATTTCCCTTTCATTTTTCATAATCATGTTTTTAAAATCTAATAAAAATCCAATGTGAGCATTCCTTATCCAGAATTCCAGAATCTGAAATAACCCAAAATTGTCCACATAGGTGGTAGAGGCAGCCATACCATTGCTTTCTGATGGTTCAGTGTACACAGACCTTACATCATACACAAAGTTATGAGATATTGTATAAAATTACTTTCAGGCTATCTGAAAGATGTATATGAAAGATAAACAAATTTCTTCTTTAGACGTGAGTTCCATTTCAGACATATCTCTATGCACATACATGCAGACATAGGTTTTCCAAAATTTAACACACTTCTGGTCGTAAGCATTTCAAATAAGGAATACTCAACCTGCATTTTAAACAATGAGAAATCTGACAAATATTGTAGAGTTGGAAGAGACCACAAGAGTCATCCAGTCCAACCCCATTCTGCTACGCAGGAACACTACCATCAGGGCTTCTTCCAACTCTTCGATTCTTTGAAATTGCTCTTGACAGATGACCATCCATCTAGCCATCTATCAAACAGTCCTAACTAACAGGAATTTCTGCCTAATGTTTAGGTGGAATCTCTTCCTGCCACTTGAATCCATTGGCCTGTGTCCTAATCTCTAGAGCAGTGATTCCCAACCTTTGGGCTTCAAGGTGTTTTGGGCTTCAGCTCCCATAATTCCTAACATCTGATAAGATGGCTGGGGTTTCTGGGAATTGAAGTCCAAAACACCTGGAGGCCCAAAGGTTGGAAACCACTGCTCTAGAGCAGCAGACAATAAGCTTGTTCCATCCTCAATATAACATCTTTTCAACTATTTAATCATGGCTATCATGTCTCTTCTCAACCTTCTCCAAGCTATACATACCCAGTCCCCTAAGCTGCTTTTCACAGAACTTGGTTTCCAGATATTTTACGATGTTGGTCACCCTTTCCAGTTTGTCAGTGTCCTTTGTGAATTGTGAGATACAGTCTTGAATAAATATTAATGTTATTTAAAAAAACCAGTTGTGATATAGTGTGTCTCTCTTCCCATGTTCCCATCCCCTTCCTCTCTGCAGTCAACGTCACTCTTGACACAGACACAGCAAACCCTCAAGTCATCATCTCCGAGGATCGGAAAAGTGCCAGATGGGACGTCACCAGGACAGAGCTGCCACACAACCCGAAGCGCTTCAAGTCCTCCTGCTGCGTGCTGGGCTGTGAATGGTTTGATTCTGGGAGGCATTACTGGGAGATCAACGTGGAGGATGGTGGCATCTGGGCTGTCGGTGTGGCCCGGGGCTCTGTGAGGAGGAAGACCGAGTTGAAGCTCACTCCCGAGGAAGGGATTTGGGCCCTGCAGGGCGACTTTGGCCAATACCAAGCCCTCACTAACCCTGTGACCCCTCTGCCCCTCAGCTCCACCCCCAGAAGGATCCGGGTAGCCCTGGACTACGAAAGGGGCCAGGTGGAATTTTTCAATGCTGAGACCAAGGACTCCATCTTCCTTTTCCCCTCAGCTTCATTCTCTGGGGAGAGTGTGTACCCCTTTTTTAAAGTCTTGCTTGCCCAGTTGACCCTGGATGGCTAAAGGGTTACCTTTACAAGATCAGACCTTCATCTCAGCATGACTGGCCATGCCGGGTGGGGGGATTACGGAAGCTGTGTTCCAAAAAAGTAACTTTCCCAAGCTGTGCTGGAAAATCACTCAAGGCAGATTAGTCTCCCTTAAGTTCTCTTTAAGGTACAAGAGATTTTTTTAAAATGCCACCTTTTTAATTGCATGCTGAAAGTAAATTTGTGAGCACAGAACCATGATGAAGTAATATTCAAGGATTTTTTTTGTAACGAAGGTCAAGATAATTCACATATGTGCTTGTGGGCAGTGCCAAATTGATCCTGTGGCTAGAATGGACCTGGACCATTTGGTTTCGTCAAATATCACTTCATGCAAAACAGGTCCTGCCTTGTTAGATCACTCAATTCAGCTTCAGTTCTGATCTAGAAGCCAGGTTTGTAGCCAAGTCCTTACATTTCGCCGGCCAAGGCCGAGTATCATCATCACCAAAGGTAGTTTACATAGAGCTGACATGCTTTATTTTTCACCTACTGGTGTCTTAAAACTTTTTTTTCTTTTATAGTGATAAATACTGTGAATGTCTTAATGTTGTTTTGTGTTTTTTCAATGTTGTTTAGTCAATGGGTTGAGAGGGGAATAAAAATAGTAAGGTCAGATCACATGGTAAAGACAAGCTGCTTAAGAAGGCAAGAGCTATGTCTCATCAGACTTCTGGCCTAAATTTCTGTTCCCACAGTGCCCAAACTATTTGTAAGACTTGAAAGCAACAGCACTTTCCTGCTCCACAGTAACTGATATAGGAAAAAGTAATGTGTCTGAGGAACATGACTACTAACAACAGATGCAGTTTCATCATCTGTGAATATTTCCAATCCCTTTGGGACTGTCCTAACTGGTCAGCAACCATTACAACTTGTGGCAGCCACTTTTACATGTGACTTAGGGTGCATCTACACTGTGGAATTAATGCAGATTGACACCACTTTAGTTGCGATGACTCCATGCTATGAAATCCTGGAAACTAGTTTGGCAAGGCATCATGGCTTTTTGGCAGAGAAAACTATTATTCCCAGGATTTCCATAGCATTGAGACATTGCAACTAAAGTGGTGTCAATCTGCATTAATTCCACTTTATAGATGCACTTGTGGTGTATGGAAGAACTACTTAACTGTCTCTTTCCTGAATATTCTGTTATTCAGCTTCAAGGGATAACATTTCCTTATCTACACCATACATAGTGTACACTTCTGCCATATCTCCTATAGCTATCCATCTTTTCCAAGCTGAGCAACTCCCAACATTGTAATTTTTCCATCTTTCAGACTTAATCAAGTACTTGATTGTTGATATGTTTCCCTCTGCATTTCTGCCTTGTTTAGATGTCAGTTAACATGTGACAAATGTTGAACGATTAATCAGTAGTCTCTCACTTTCTGTGCGTAACTGGTTATTGTGGTCATGGTGGGATGTTTTCAGGAGCCAATGTTGTCGTATTGATGTGTAAAATAGTTTCTGTGTCAATGTGAAGGTTGACTTTTCATATTTGATGGATGTGAGAAGTATAAGCACTTTGGGCATTAATAAATTAACCAGATGTGGTTCATCAGAGCCTGCTTTTAATTATTCCATTGATGGTGTACTGAAGGTACAGAAAAAAGATCAGTAATGGAGGGGTTCTACACTGGAGATAAGCTGCTGCAAGACTGGGAGCACATTAGCCATACTGAAGATTTGTCCAGCCAACACTGGGAAAACATATTCTGGGAGCTGAAGTCCAAAGCTATGCACACAGCTACACTATAGAATTAATGCAGTTTGACACAACTTTAAATGCCATCGCTCAATGGTATGGAATCAGAGGAGTTGTTTGCACTAGAACTCTTATCAGAAAAGGCTAAAGACTTTGTAAAACTCCAACTCCAAGGATTCCTTAGCATTGAGCCATGGTATTTCAAGTGCAAATTGACCCTGCTGTTATTAGCAATTGAATATATTGCTATTCAATTCAATAAGTATTAAATAATAATATTGAATTGAAATATAGATGTAACCTATATTGAGTTCAAGTCAATACCAGGTTTCTTCAACCTGTGCCTTCCAGGTTTTAGGTCTCCAACTCCCAGAAGCCCTACTTACTTACTTGGGCAATACTTCGTTGTCCGAGTAGGATTGTCTTCCAAGATTGGTGTACTGGCGGAGGGTCTGTAGGTGACTGTGGAGCCCTATTCTTGATCTGCATTTTCTCCCACAGTGAGGGCATCGGTTTCCAGGTGGAAGGCGGTCCTGGCCGGGGTTGGCTTGAAATGCCTTCCTCTTGACATGTTTCTCTCTTTTGCCCTCCATTCGTGCCTCTTCAAGTTCTGCAGCACTGCTGGTTACAGACCTCCAGCTGAAGCACTCAAGGGCCAGGGCTTCCAGAGTTTTTAAGGTTGGCTTTGAGCCTATCTTTAAATCTCTTTTCCTGCCCACCAACATTCTGTTTTCTGTTCTTGAGTTCGGAGTAGAGCAACTGCTTTGGGAGACAGTGGTTGGGCATCCGGACAACGTGGCCAGCCCAGCGGAGTTGATGGCGGAGGACCATCGCTTCAGTGCTGGTGGTCTTTGCTTCTTCCAGCACGCTGACATTTGTTTCCTTGTTTTCCCAAGAGATTTGCAGGATTTTTCGGAGGCAACACTGATGGAATCGTTCCAGGAGTTGCATGTGACGTCTGTAGACAGTCCACGTTTTGCAGGCGTATAGTAGAAGCCCTAACAAACTTGTTCAATGGTCAGGAATTCTGGGAGCTGAAGTCCAAAACACCTGGAGGATTACAGTTTGAAGAAGCCTGATCAAGATTATCTTCAAGCCTCACTGTTTTGAGACCTCAACTCCTGGAGTCCAGAATCATAGAGATGGAAAACACCTAATGGGCCATCCAGTCCAACCCCCTGCTAAGAAGCAGGAAAATTGCATTCGAAGCACCCCAACAGATGGCCATGCAGCCTCTGTTTAAAAGCTTCCAAGAAGGAGCCTCCACCAAACTCCGGGGCAGAGAGTTCCACTGCTGAACGGCTCTCACAGTTAGGAAGCTCTTCCTAATGTTCAGGTGGAATCTCCTTTCTTGTATTTTGAAGCCATTGCTCCATTGCGTCCTAGAATCATAGAATCAAAAAGTTGGAAGAGACCTCCTGAGGAATCCGATAAAGAGAACGGATTGGATTCTCTTTAGTGACTATGATCAAGGGTCTGGAGAACAAGCCCTATGAGGAGTGGCTTAAGGAGCTGGGCATGTTTAGCCTGAAGAAGAGAAGGCTGAGAGGAGATATGATAGCCATGTATAAATATGTGAGAGGAAGCCACAGGGAAGAGGGAGCAAGCTTGATTTCTGCTTCCTTGGAGACTAGGACGCAGAACAATGGCTTCAAACTACAAGAAAGGAGATTCCACCTGAACATGAGGAAGAAATTCCTGACTGTAAGAGCCGTTCAGCAGTGGAACTCTCTGCCCCGGAGTGTGATGGAGGCTCCTTCTTTGGAAGCTTTTAAACAGAGGCTGGATGGCCATCTGTCAGGGGTGATTTGAATGCAATATTCCTGATTCTTGGCAGGGGGTTGGACTGGATGGCCCATGAGGTCTCTTCCAACTCTTTGATTCTATGATTCTAAAATGGATTTTTGCAGCGATCCGTTGTTGGACGAGTAAGATGGTCTTCCTTGATGACTATTTTTGTGGGTTCGTAGGTGGCTGTGGAGCCCTATTCTTGACCTGCATCTTCTCCCACAGTGAGGGCATTGGTTTCCAGGTGGAAGGCGGTCTCGGTCGGGGTTGGCTTGACGCGCCTTCCTCTTGGCACGTTTCTCTCTTTCACCCTCCATTCGTGCCTCTTCAAATTCTGCAGCACTGCTGGTCACAGCTGACCTCCAGCTGGAGCGCTCAAGGGCCAGGGTTTCCCAGTTCTCAGTGTCTATGCCAGAGTTTTTAAGGTTGGCTTTGAGCCCATCTTTAAATCTCTTTTCCTGTCCACCAACATTCCGTTTTCCGTTCTTGAGTTCGGAGTAGAGCAACTGCTTTGGGAGACGGTGGTCAGGCATCCGGACAACGTGGCCGGTCCAGCGGAGTTGATGGCAGAGGACCATCGCTTCAATGTTGGTGGTCTTTGCTTCTTCCAGCACGCTGACGTTTGTCCGCTTGTCTTCCCAAGATATTTGCAGGATTTTCCAGAGGCAGCGCTGATGGAATCGTTCCAGGAGTTGCATGTGACGTCTGTAGACAGTCCATGCTTTGCAGGCATATAGTAGAAGCCCTAACAAGCTTGTTCAATGGTCAGGAATTCTGGAAGCAGAGGTCCAAAACACCTGGAGGGTTACAGTTTGAAGAAGCCTGGCCTAGATCACCTTCAGGACTCAGTGTTTTGAGACCTCAGCTCCTAGAGTCCAGCTTGGCCAATTGTCAGGAATTCTGGGAGTGGAAGTCTAAGCAGACTACAATGTGTTTGTGTGTCTTCACATCTAATCCAATTTAGAGCTGTCATGCTTTTTTCCCCCAGACTTTGGCTCCCAGAATCCTCAGCCACCTTGGCCAACTACCAGGATTTCTGGGAGCTGAAGTCAAAAACACCTGGAGGGTTACAGTTTGAAGAAGCCTAGCCAAGATCATCTTCAGGCATCACTGTTTTGAGACCTCAACTCCTGGAGTCCAGAATCATAGAGATGGAAGAGACCTCATGGGCCATCCTATCCAACCCCCTGCCAAGAAGCAAGCCAAGAAGCACCCCCAACAGATGGCCATGCAGCCTCTGTTTAAAAGCCTCCAAAGGAGCATCCACTACACTCCAGGGCAGATTGTTCCACTGCTGAACAGCTCTCACAGTCAGGAAGTTCTTCCTGATATTCAGATGGAAACTCCTTTCTTGTAGTTTGAAGCCATTGTTCTGCATCCTGGTCTCCAGGGTAGGAGAAAACAAGCTTGCTCCCTCCTCCCTATGACTTCCTCTCACATATTTATACATGGTTATCATATCTCCTCTCAGACTTCTCTTCTTCAGGCTAAACATGCCCAGCTCTTTAAGCCGCTCCTCACAGGGCTTGTTCTCTAGACCCTTGATCATTTTAGTCGCCTTCCTCTTGACAATTGGCCAATTGTCAGGAAGTCCAAGCGGACTACATTGTGTTTGTGTGTCTTCCAATCCAATCCAATTTAGATCCGTCATGTTTTGTCCAGACTTCAGCTCCCAGAATCCTCACCCAGCTTGGGCAACGACCAGGAATTCTGGGAGTTGAAGTCCAAATCACTGGTTCTATGAACCGAGCGTTGGCAGAAATGGTCAGCGCTGATTGGCTGATGCTGCCCAACCAATCGGATTCGCGCCGGAAGTGGGGCATAGCAACCAAGGCCCCACTTCCGGCTGTGCTGAGTGGCCCGCCATGGCTGCGGAGGAGAGCCCGCTGGAGACCCTCCAGCGGGAGATCACGTGCTCCATCTGCCTGAGCTACTTCAGGGAGCCGGTCTCCATCGAGTGCGGGCACAACTTCTGCCAGTCCTGCATCACGCAGTGCTGGGGCCGCGCCGGCGAGGAGAACACCTCCTGCCCGCAGTGCCGCCGCTGGTCCCGCAAGCGCAGCTTCAGGCCCAACCGGGAGCTGGGCAACGTGGTGGAGGTGGCCAAGCGGC